GCACCCCCAATACAAGGGAACCCACACAGATTTCTTCTCCATCACAGGCCAACTCTCCACGCACCTTTGGCTGTCTCATCACACATCCCAACCCTAAGGCGACCTTTTCCCCATCTTCACAGGTTCCTTTCTCCCCAACACGGGCTCAAGAGTTAAGACAGATCTTTCCAGATTCTTCTCCACTTTCTTGCTGTTCCCCCAAACAAGACATAAAGCTTTTGCATGTCAGAGGTTTCACTGCTCACTACAGAGAACAGTAAGGACTAACAAAAACAAAAAGTGTGGGAAGCTGGAAAGACTCAAGGATGCCACAGTGATTTGTTGGTGCTTTTCCCACAGTACCAGGGTTGGGGGAGTGAACGAAATAGACAGGACTCCTGCCCTTTGGAGCATTCATTCCACGGGGGAGATGGGCGATAAACTTAACAACTAATTAATATAGCAGGCTAGGAGGTGCTATGAATAAAAGCAAGGCAGGGAGGAGGAATGGGATGCCTGTGGGAGTGGGTTAGACTCTGAGCAAAGCTGAAAGGACGGGAGGGAGCAGACCATGAAGTTATCTGCGGGAAGAGTATTCCAGGGGACAGAACCCTTAGTGCTTAAGGGCCTAGGGCAGGGGGAACAGCAAGGAGGCCAGTGTGGATGGAGCAGAATAGGATTGGAGGCCAGAGAATTACGGGGCAGAGAGTGCCTCATCCTGCAGTCAGAGTGCAAAAGGGAACGAGCCTAGAGTTTGAGCTGTGCTGACCTGGGCTCAAATTTCAGCTCTGCCCTTAGGTGGTGTACCTTGGGCTCCCCTACTTCTCATCTATAAACAGTTGACCGCAAAGGGTGGTCACTGCAATATGGAACGTGAAACTTCCTATCATAGGACACAGCACACGACACGTTCCTACCCACCAAACATCAGTTCCTCCTCCTCTTCCCCCGGTTACAGGGCTCCTCTCATCTAGCTCCCAGTGCAATTGAGTAAAAGGTGTTTAAAAGTATTCCACTCAAGGGCTTCCAAGAGGGCTGAGTGCGAGAAAACCAACTGCGAAATGGTACATACCTGTTATTGTTGGAAAACAGGAATATTTTAGTTTCGGCATTCAACTATCTGGAGGAATCTACACCAAAGTGTTAGTGGTGGTCAGTGCTGAGGGGTAAAGATTCCCAAAAAGTTGGACCACTAAGCTTCTACCTTCTATATTTCTGTAACGTTTGAACGTTTTACAATGAGCACATATTACACTGGCAAGCAGAGATCACAACATAGGCTGGTGTTGGTGCAGGAGAATCGACCTCCTGGTCCTCGGTAGCCTCCATCCCACGCATACCCAAGCCCACTTGGTGTGATCCAACTCTTACTTCTTCTCTATGGGGAAACTGAGTGCAAAAAGGGCCAAAGGAAGCCTCAGGATCTCAGATGAGACCTGGATCACAGGAAAAGGTCCTGGAATAAGTATGCTTGGGTAACATGTGTGAACTCCCACTGGGTCTGTTTGAAAGGGGATGGAAAGTGAACTCCTTTCTAAAGAAAATGAAAATCTAGGCCGGGCGCGGTGGCTCACGCCTGTCATCCCAGCACTTTGGGAGGCCGAGGCGGGCGGATCACAAGGTCAAGAGATCCAGACCATCCTCATAAACATGGTGAAACCCCGTCTCTACTAAAAATACAAAAACTTAGCTGGGCATGGTGGCGCGTGCCTGTAATCCCAGCTACTCTGGAGGCTGAGGCAGGAGAATTGCCTGAACCCAGGGGGCGGAGGTTGCGGTGAGCCGAGATCGCGCCATTGCACTCCAGCCTGGGTAACAAGAGCGAAACTCCGTCTCAAAAAGAAAAAAAAAAAAGAAAATGAAAATCTTTACTATGGCTGCCAAGCAGAGAGAGGGACTGATGAAAATCAAGTACTTAAAATTAATCTGTGAACTTCTTTGTGATTCAAGATTGTCAACAACTGAAAAAAAATCTCATTTTAAAGAATACTAAATTAAGAAATACTATAAGATAAACCACATTTCACAACGAAGTAACTTACAAGGTCAGTCAAGGAAAACAAATATCCCAGTTCTTGGTGTCTTATTCAACAATGTACTAAAATATTCATTATAATCAATCACCACAAGACCTGTGAGTTTCATAGCTTAGAAAACTTTTACTCTTTTCCCACTTTCCCAAAAAACTCTGGTGAAGGGAATAAAAAAATAATGCTTAAGCATTAATAGTTGCCCATATGACTTTCCCAGCTTAAATATACATTTCAAAAGAAACAACAAAAAAATGTAGTCCAGAAACATTTTTACATTTCCTGAATTGGGCTTTGTACCATAAAGCCTTCTCAGCTCTGCATTAAATGAAATCCTGCTTGAATGGAAGACAGACTAGTCAGTTTCTCAAACTCTTCAATCATGAGATTCCCAACTGAGGAAGACAGTAATGCTCCCCATAGGAAAATTCATTTTCTCCCCAGAAATCAAGCAACATCTCTCGTTTTCTGCTTCTTGCCCAGTAACATCAGGACTCATCTTGAGTTTATCTGATCGTAGACTGGAAATCCCCAAGACAGAAAGCTCCTGTCTCAGCATTTCTGTAAACACCAGGGAATGTGTCCTTCCCAAATGGAGTGTTTTCCATGAGATAAGAATGCTATGTACAAATTGCTATACCGTTTCAAAAGAACACAGTGTAATGAAAAAGGTAACATCATGGCGCTCGAAAACCAATCACATTGATCAAGGGAAAAAACAGAACTTATAGAATTAAAAGAGATAGTCTTATATTATCCACCAATTTATAACTAAAAGCTATAATTTGCATGGGACATAGTTTCCAAATAATTCCTTCTGTTACCTATACCTTTCTCTCCACTATCTCAGCTATATGACCTGAGTAGAAAAGCTATCAGCCCCACTGGGTGAATTTTCACTGATGCAACTACAGCAATTTCTGAGCCCATGAGGACTGCTAGGAATGTCTAACAAAATCCAATAACTGCATTATAATAATGTACTTTAAAAAAGATTAAATATACATACATAGCTGAATGCACAGAGTCCAAGAACTTTGAAAGCCTAATTGCTACAATCGTAGAGAGACTGGATTAGGATCCGGGTATGGATTCCTTCCTCCCATTAAGGGATTCACAGGCAAGTTTGATAGGCAGTGTTGCTCTGATGACTGACAGTGAGACCAGAAGATAGTATGCAGGGCAGCAAGTAGGGTCGGGTGGGATGTGACCATGGAAAATGAGAGTGATTCATTCTACTTGATGCACATACATTTTATAGGTTTAAATCTGGAGGGAAACAACTTTAACTAAACTCCTTGTATGGGAGAATTAAATGGAAGCACATCTTGGACCCCACTTTTCATAGGCTCAGTGCCACCTCAAAAAATTCCATACTGACCCATTCTGAAACAACAGCTTTTCTTACTGGAAAGCCACAGAGTTGGTGTGGAATCTATGAAATGGAAAATCGGACCCAAGCCAATGTGCTCATGCATAAGCTTGATTTTAATGAAAAGGTACATGGAGCAGCAGCACCCGGATTACGAGCCCCCTCGGTGCTCCCCATCTCTAGTATTCCCATGCGCCTGAGTTTGCATCCTCACCCTGTCCCTGACTGTGTGACCTTGGGCAAGTTATTTAACCTTTCTAAGTCTTGGCTTGTTCATCTTCAGCATGGACATGAGAGGTCTGTTATGAGGACTAAATGAGATCATACACAAATAGTTTTAGCTCAGTACCTGGTACATATGAACACTGAAGAAACATGTCCTTCTCGTGATTAGATGTGACACTCTGACATATTTTAGAAGCAATTACGGTTCAGCTATCATATCCCAACATCTTATGATACCCCACTTTGATTTTTTGCTTCTAGCTCTTACTATTCTTTTCATCACAATATTTTAGGGTGGGGGGAGGAGGTAAGCAGTTACACACATCCCACTTTTCCCACCGTTGCTCAAAGCAAGGTGAAAAGCCAGGGAAATAAACGTATGCACTGAAGAGAAATTCGGTCTTTAGGATATGATGTGATAGGCGTATGGAATATAAACAAATCATGTAATTTCAACCTCTACCATATAGGACATCAAATCATAGGTAGTTTTATTTTAAAAGAAACAAAATCCAGGCAGCATTAAAGAGGACAGAAAGAACCCACATGGGCCTATTGCTATCTCAGTATTGGTGACTGTGAAACAGGGATTAGTGAGCTAGATTATGGGGGGCTTCATGGGGTCTGACTTCCAACAGGTGGCTAGCTTTAGTCATGTTCAGATGCAAAACCGTAATGAGTTTGAGTATGTAAGTCCCAGGGATTCTGTTGAAGGCCTTTTCTCGGCCATCAAGGGAGGCAATTTTCAAGGTTTAAGCCTCCCTGGCAAGTTAGGAAGCAGGGAACTGCCTGCCCTAGCTTGCACCTGTCCCCTGAAGGGGATTCTGGCCTGACGGTGAAAAGCCACCATTCTTTCTAGACAGTCCATCCTGCCGCGGGGGTACCTCCCGACAAACGGGGGAAGCCCACTAGGAGGTGGTCACGACCAACCAAGCCACAAATCCCCAGGGTGTGGGATTTCCACCTCTATACCAAGTCTGAAAACCGAAAATAGGCGCTCGCTTGCCATACTGCAATGGGATTCCCCCCAGCAGCAACCCCCCCCCCCCTCCGACTTGCATGTTTTATTAATAAATGCAAGATGGCACACAGAGGCAAAGAATGGGAGGCAAAGCATCGGCAGCTGGACCCGAACCAGGGCAGTTTGCAAAAATAAATAAGAAGCATGTGACAAGAAGCAGGTCCCCAGGCTGGAGCTGAAGCCCTGGGCTGCCCCCACGCACCCTCGCCTGGCTCCCCCGGCCAGGGGGATGAAGGTCAGCGGCAAGATCCCAGCCCTTCCGGGCACTCACCCTGCAAACCTTGACCGGCACCCCCACCCCCCGCCCCGACCACAGGACTCGGGCAGTGAGGCCGGGGAAGCCGCGGCCGCGGCCGGCTGCGAGGACACATACCTGCTGCCCGGGCTCGGGATTCGCTCGGCTCTGCAGCGGCGCCGGCCGCGGCTCGCGCTCCCGGGGCTCCCCTCTCCGCCCCCCCGCCCCCTCGCGGCCCCGCCGCTCCCTCCGCCCCTCCGCCCACCGCGCTCGGGGGCGCGCGCGCGCGGTCTCGCGCTGGCGGCGCGGCCGGGCCCGCGCCTGCGCCCTCGCCTCCCGCCGGCCGCGCGCGCGCGCGCGCTCCCGAGGCTGCGGAACCGCGGCGCGGCTGTCTAGGAAACCGCGGCGTCGGCGGGCCCGGGCCGGCGGCCCGAGCGGGGCGGGGGTCGGGGGTTCGGCCGCCTGCGGGGCCGCCACGCGGAGCGCGGGCTTCGCGGCGCGGGTGGGGCGTCGCGGGGCAGGGTCGGAGCCCGAGCGCGAGCGTGCGGGGCGGCGAGGCGGCCGCGAGGGCTGGGGCTGAGGGGGAGGCGGGCGGGGCGCGGAAGCAACAGGTGCGGAGGCCGCGGGCGCCGCTGCGGGGCGCGGAGGACCCGGGGCGCCGCGGGCCGCCGGCAGCGGGAACCTCCCGTGGCGTGGGCGCCGCGCTCCGCCGTTCCCGCAGCCCTTCCCCGGCCCGCCGCGTTCGCCCGCGCCGGGCGCCCCGTGAGGCAGCGGACGGCGCGCGGGGCCCCCCGAGCTCGGCGGCCACCGCGGGAAAAGCGCCCCTTTGTGTGCGGCGGGAGCCCCCCGACTCTCGGCCGGCTGCCTGGGAGGAAGATGCCCCGTCCGTACATGCAGCCGCGGCCTCCGCCCGGGACCCTCGCAGCGCCGCGCTTCTCCCTTCCCCGTTTCGCAGTCTCACTCTTACAAAGGCTCTTCACGCGCCCGCCGCACCGCGCCTCCTTCCCCGTGGGATCCCGGCGGGCCCGCGTCCGTGCTGAGTGTGTGTCTGCGCGTGGTGGGTACAGAGACGAGCCGGGCGCCCCTGGGAGGCGGCCTCGCCCCGGCTCCCGGTCAGCGGGGCGCTGCGGGGAGCCACCGAGCGATCCGATGCACCCACAGATACTCTTTGTCGTTAAAAAAAAAAAAAAAATCCTCGCACATGATGCGCACAACTCTAAATACCGTCGGCAAGGGCTGCTGTGAATCGGGCCGTTGAAGCGGCTTCCGGATTCGCGGTCGCTTAGGATCGTTTGCCTTCTCCACCCATTCTTGCTAGAAACCATAGCCATTTTCCTATAGGGTGTTGCCATTTTTATGTTAAAATATTTGAAAAAAATGGGAACCCCTTCTTTCTAGGACACGAAGTTTCGGAATGGCTTTTGGTGCTGCAGATACCCTAAGGTGTTATTCGGTTGGGTCCGCTTGGCCTCCCGGGAATGTCCTTTGTCTTTTCTTCCTGCAGGAGCTTTTTTAGCATGGAAATCATCGAAATGGTAGAGTTGAAGGACTTCAAAACCACCTCATGGAACTGCCCCAGGGTCTTGGATGACGCCTTCCTTGGATTATACGGGAATATCTCTACAGGGAGTATCTACTTTTGGCGAACTGGAAAAAAAAAAATGTAATTTCTTCAGATCCTCCCTCGCCTTTCAGCATTTCCTACTCTAATGGTGAAATTTCAGAAGGAAAAAAACACTTGGAGGTGACACTTGTAGAAGCTACTTGGGTTGCCAAAGGGTTTTTTCTCCATTTCTAGGCGGACCAAATGTGGACTAGAAAAGAGAAAATGGAGATGGGTTAAGAAAAATTAATGGAGGATTCATAGGAGTAGAGCTGTAGTTTTCTGACAGTCGGTGACCGCATTTTAACTACCACACTTGATTTAGAAAAAGCCTCGGCATCACTTGCCCAGATTGTCATCCCCCCCGTCTTCCCCCTTGGTGGAACTCTGGGCTAATTAACTTGTAGACTACGACACGTATGTTGAAACTTGCTGAGAGAAATTTGAAGACCACTTGAAATTTCTACCAAGAATCTTTGTATTCTAATAAAATTTTTTTCAATTCGGGTTCATGCTACTTCAAGGGAACATTTTTTCTACAATGGCTATTTATAAACACCTTCTATTGAAAATCACACGCTGATAACGTTTACTTACGCCTTTTAAGTGTTCCGAATTTTCTTCTTTTTTGAGTAATCTGAGTTCATGGAAATTGTAGGTGCAACCACTTCAGGCTGTAGTGTGAAGTCAGAAAACCCCAAACGTATAATTTATGCTGCCCCCTGGTGATGTCCTACTTCACAGCACCTCCCCAAACTAAAATCTCCCTTTGATAAAGTTTTTAATTGAAAACTTACATCAAGTGTGGACAAGATGCCATTCTGCGTTCTTGAAACTGGGCTTCTCCTGTTTTCAAATACCCTAAGGCCTAACAGCTGAGAAGGATTATTAGCTCTTGAGGCTAATCAGCCTAGAGGTCTGTGAAGATCTGCCAGATCTCACTTTCACTTGAGCATTATTCTTGAACTTTCCTGGCTTATAAGACTCACTTGGGAACACTTACTTAAAATCAGATTCTGTGACTCATAAATTCAGCTGATTAGAAAAAAAAAAATCGGATTCTGGAGCCTCCTTTCAAACCTCTTGAAATCTGATATCAGAGATTGACTTGTGATTTTTATTTTTAACTGCCCCAGGTGATTCTTATTGATCGGAGAGGGTGGGGAATCCTACAGCTATAAATAGTGCAGGTGCTGCTGCAGAACACTGCAGGTGGCTAATGAGAGGGAATTTTGTGAGTAAAGGAGCTTCAGTAGCCACAGGAAAGTGTAGGAGCTTCGAGGCAGGAGTGGAACTGCGGGTTTAAGCTTGCTATGTCACTTTCTTGCCAAGCATACCTGTTTGTTTCTAACGTGGCTCTAGTTGACATTCTATCCCGTACCAAGATATCTTTTGAGGTAAGTCAAATTTTCTTTTAGTTAATAAGACTGTCTTTTCAAGAGTACCAGGAAAATTTCCGTAAATTTTCACGTAAACGGAAAATTTGTACATCTATGTAGCTTGCAAGATTATGGGAGGATAGATTAGAGATTGTGTTGATCCTGTGAACGTCTGAAAAAGATTCAGAGCAGAGTTAAAACTTTTGTTCTCTTGAGATAGTTGCTTGTGAAAATAGAACACGTGAATCTGATGTCACATGATTTGTGAAAATTTGAATAATGTCCGAAGTCCTTAAATTGTTAATGTTGATATAAATGTTAATATTTTGAAAGCTCTTCTAAATGTTTAACTTATAATACAACCTCACTTATTTGGAATGTACAGGTAGAAAGCCAATCTGACTTGGTAGAAACCTGAAAATGGAACATATGTGATTTTGTGTGATATTGTGATATTTTAAATTTGAGTATACACAATAATAGCTAAGTCTTTTTTTTTTTTTAAATCCTGCTGAGATGGCTTTAGTGAATAAATATGATTGTCTAGGAACTAGTGACATTCATGTGGATGCAGTCAGTGTGGATGAAACACGAAGCACGATACCATGTGCTCAGTAGGCTCTTAATAAACATTAATTGTAAAGTTTTCTCATAAGCAGGTTAAGTATACTGCAGCAAGCCCACCTTCAAAGATAGTACTTAGAGCAGATTTTACCTTGAATGGCATACCAAGGGTGGGGCAGTAAGTACAGTAGATCTTGGGTATACACAATAATAATTCCCATTATCTGTAGAGAAGTTAAACTACAATAAATCCACTAAAAGTCTGCTTTTTTTATTTCCAGTAATTTTTATGTACCAATAATTCTAAACCGTGTCAATATTAAAATAGTCTTCCATGAAAAATCTCTTATGGATCTAGATTTTAAACAATTTCTGTAGTTTCTGTTAAGTTTTAGTATACGAATTTAAACTTCAAATCAGCACATTTTAATTATTTTTTAATAAACAGTATATTCTACATGGAATTAGAGAACTCCGACTCATATAATTGTTCTTCAGTAAACAAAGATTCAGCTATTGTATGTATTTCCAAGTAAACTCATAAAAGTTCAGCGTAGTTCAAGACCTAAGGCACAATATATGATTGCAACCCTGCTGGTCTATATTCTTACATTTAAACAGTAGATTCTTTGTAAACAATGGTAGCACAGTGATTATAAGAATGAAGAAACCTAGCGTGATTACTTCAACAGCTTTCTAAGAGTTTTATAAAATTTAAGAGTGAAGCATAGTGCAAACTTTGAGGTATAATATTTTTGTTTCATGAAATCATCCTCTTGAATAATTTTTTTTAAACGGGGCCTCGCTGTGTTGCACAGGCTGGAGGGCAGTGGCATGATCACAGCTGACTGTAGCCTCCACCTCCCCGGTTCAAGCAATTCTCCTGCCTCAGCCTCCCGAGTAGCTGGGACTACAGACGCCTGCCACCATGCCCAGCTAACTTTTACACTTTTTTCAGTAGAGACAGGGTTTCATCATGTTTGCCAGGCTGGTCTCCAACTCCTGACTTAAAGTGATCCACCCACCTCAGCCTCCCAAAGGGCTGTGATTGCAGACGTGAGCCACTGCACCTGGCCATCTCTTAAATAATTGATTCAAATAATATACTTAACTTTGACTTTTTTTCTTTTTTCATTGTTAATAATTGCTTCAAAACTAAAAAAGAAATCAAGAAAATAAGAGGTGTAATGTTTTTTAGTACTGCAAACAAACCAGTATGTAGGCATATGTTTTTCATTTTTTGAAAACATTAATTTCATTACAGTTTCCTCTTTAGTACTGTAATACGTATTTTGTTTTCTATTGGTATATAAGTGGAGTTGAATAAAAAACAATTTCCCCTGTCTCTTTCCTATTTTTTTAATTATGTGATTATTACTGAAAAGTCATTTTATTACACAGAGGAAAAGGAAATAATAAATGCTCCCGCTGGCTGGGTACAGTGGCTCACACCTGTAATCCTAGCAGTTTGGGAGGCGCAGGCAGGTAGATCACTTGAGTTCAGGAGTTCAAGACCAGCCTGGGCAACATGGTGAAACCCCTTCTCCACCAAAATATTTTCAAAATTAGCCAGGTGTGATGGTGTGCACCTGTGGTCCTAGCTACTCGGGAGGCCAAGGTGGGAGGATGGCTTGAGCCTGGAAGGTTGTAGTAAGCCAAGATTGTGCCACTGCGGTCCAGCCTGGGTGACAGAGTGACACCCTGTCTAAAAAAAAAATTTAAATCCCTCTGGATGTCGGATATTCTAAGTGTATTAATGGGCCCAAATGATCAC